GGGACCCCCCCCCGAGCCCGCCGTTACCTGCCTGCGCCCGGGCCGTGCCGCGCAGCAGGAGCAGAAGCAGGAGCACGACCCTCGAGGGACCCTGCGCGCCCGGGCGTCTCTTCTCCATCCTCAGCGCTGGCTCAGGCCCGCTCCCCCGGCCGCTTGGGGCTCCGATCCCAGCCGGGCGGCTCCGTGTGCAGACTCGCCCCAGCCCCTCGGAGAGACTGGAAACGAGAGCCCTCCCTGGCCCCGCTCGGCCCTGTTCCCCTCCCCTGTTCCCTCCCCTCCCTAGCCCCGCTTCTCCCCTCCCCTGTTCCCTCCCCTCCCCGGCCCCGCTCGGCCCTATTCCCCTCCCCTGTTCCCTCCCTTCCCTCTGGGTCTCCCGGGCGCCCCCTCCTCGTCAGTTGTCCCATGAGGGCTGGGCATGGCTGGGGGATGCTGCCCCACTTGCTGGCCAGGCCTGGCACCCTGGGGACCTGGGGCGAGCGGCTGCACCCCCCGACGGGGCCCCCTCCCCGCTGGTTCCCCCGGACAGGGCGGCTCAAAGCAGGGGAGGAGCAGTGGGATGGTATCAAGCGTCCAGCTGAGCACAGCCTGGGCCGGGCCAGGCCAAACGGGGACACTGGGCTGGGCCGGGCCGGGCTGGTTGAAAGCACAAAGTGGGGCCGGGAGCAGTGCCGAGGGCTGGGGACGAGAGCTATACAGCCTGGTCCCCGGCGAGCTGTGGCCCAAGGAGGCTGGGACAGAGCCAGCGATGGAACCCAGGTGTCCTGCGCCCCCCTGGCATCTCTCTCGCCTGAGCCCCCAACGCTGCGCCCAGGAGCCAGGCCAGAGGGGAGCCCCGGGGCTGGGGGGGGACTGGGGTGTTAGACCCCCCGGCTCTGCCAGGTGGGCACCGTGTGTCCATCTACCAGTCCGGGGCCGGGCAACGTCACCAGCCCTAGAGCCTCAGATGCCCTCCCCCTCCCCCCGAACCCCAGCACCCCTCCCCCCCTCGGGCCAACCCCAGCTGGGACCAGGCTGCTGTGTCCCCCCCACCGCCATCATGGACCAGCCTCTCCCCACTGACCCCCCGGGGGGGGGGACTCCCCACACAGCTGCCCTCTGGTGGCCAAGGGCGGGGACTGCTCATCCCCGAGGCCAGGTGCAGACGGAGCCTGCAACCCCCTCCCCCCACGCCCCCCATCTTCCCCCATACAGCCTGTCACCTGCCTCCCCTCACACCCCCTGATTCCCCCCCCACCAGCAGCCCCCCACACACAGCCCCATCCCCCCACCTCCCCCATACAGCCTGAGCCATCCCCTCCCCCCGCGTCCCCATGCCCCCCACCTGCCCCCAAATGCTGTGCTAACACCTCCAGATATCCCCTGCCCCTCCCCCTCCAAACCTTGCCCCCTGCCCCACCCCCTACCTGTCAGGGGCTCCGCCGAGCTCAGCTGGACCCAATGAGCCGCGGGCAGTGCCGGTTCTCCTGGCTGGACAAACCGGCCCAGGGGGCCTGGCTCCACCTGGCAGCCCCTCAATCCCCTGTGGGTCTGCTCTGACCACTAGGCCACGCTGCCCCCCCACACCTCTCACAGCCCAGACCCCAGTGGAGCGAAGGTAGCACTGCCATTGGTGCCCCCGGTGCCACCCCCCCATCCCCATGGCCCACGGCGTCTGTCTGTCCATCTGTCTCTGCCCCAGACACCTTTTCCCAGCCCTTCCTGTGGCCTGTGGGACCTCGGGGTTATTTATGTCACTGTTTCTTTCCCTCTTCAGAAACCAGATGTGTGGACCCCCCCGAGCCCTGCCAGTGCCCCTCACTCCCGACCCACAGCCCCTGCTAGCTGAGCCCTGCCCCCCCCAGCTCTGCCACTGCCCCTCACTCCCGACCCACAGCCCCTGCTAGCTGA